GGCTAAGCTTTCGTTTATCATATGATGAACATGATTAGAGTTGTAACTCATTCTTGTAATAGTGTCAAGTTATCGCTACCAATCAACGAATCTCTTCATAATTTACTTTGTTTGAAATGAATGTCTCCCGAACAACCTTCATTGTTGTTCATTTACTCATATGTTTAATAGATACTTTTGAATTATTTTCCTAATACTCATATAAAAACTGGAATTAATATTATTCTGTTCTCTGTTTATTAAAAAATAGTTTGCTTTAAAAGTTAACTGTAGTTTGTAACGCCTCGCTTCATTGAGGATTTGTCTTGTTTTTTTTTGTCTGCAAGGTATAGGCTTGATTTCCTATCCCATGCTCCCCGGATTCCATTCGATAGATTGCATCGGATTGAATAAAATTCTAGGTGGAATCTTTTCCTGATCCACAACTATTTGTAATTTTCACTCATATAGGTAACGGCAGTGATCTTCGTCTCGTACGTACTTATCTGCAACTGGCGTTATCTGATTGTCGTCTAGATTTTCTCATGTCGGAGAGCAACCAGCTTGACACATTTGCCGATTTTGACATGTTAAAGGAGAATCTCGTCGATGAACTCTTGGCCCACATTGAAAGCATGGAAGAGAAACCAACTAGAATCAGGTATCCCTGACTTAAAATTTATTCATTCCTAACTATTTTTTCATTAGTATATAAATTTGCATGATCGATGAGCTTGATAATAATGAATACCTACTTCATATTTATAAACAACATCTATGAGCAAATATCTTGGTTTCCAATTGGATTGCCGCTTTCACCTCTTTTACAAACGTATACATGAACGAATTAGAAAAGGATTTCGAGACATTACTGCTGCTGCTCCTGCGATGCCTGAATGACTCATTTGCACTTCAGTCGCATGGAGATAAAATTGGATAAATTACCGAAGTTTAGAAACCAGGTTGATAAAGGCATCGAATTCATAATGGGAGTGGATGAGGATAATCGGTTACCTTTACTTGAGGTCGGAATCATTCGCTTTAATGAGATATTTAAGAGAATATTGTTAAGAACGGAGGCGAGTGCTAGAATATTAGTCAATTTACAGTATGATCTCAACTAAAGGCTGAAGATCGGAATAATGAGGAGAATGACTATCAGAAAGCTACAATTAACGGACCTAGATTTCTGGGATGAAGTATGGAACAAATTGACTCTGATGCGAGAGAATTATTACAGAGCCATGAAAATCAAATGGTAGGATGAGGATTATGTAAAAAAGAGATTGATAAAGACGCACAAAAGTTGATATGCCTCCATTCATGCAAGCTAACTCAAAAACTACGCCCAAGATTTGAAAAATTGACCATTGAAATGACCACGAAAGAAGAAATAACACACTTCACATGTATACCTACGCAACATTAGAAGATAGACAAAATTGATTTCTCGGAAGTTTACCGCATAACATGAAACATCTGTAAGCATAGTATTTTAGCGAAACAAGAATAAAAATCAGCATTCTAATCATGGAATATCAAAGTCCTTGCAGGAAAGTGAATAAATACGCATTGTATAGAATGGGCATAATATCGATTGTATGGAAACAGAAAGAATGGCCTCATATGGTGGAAACATAAGGAAATGGCATATTAGGATGACATCGTTGCTGAAAGAAATTAATTAACATGAGTTTGAAAAAAGCTAAAGCTGGTGATAACTTTTCCTATTGCTTAAACAAACTGGCAGAGCACAGAGATACGGCAAGGCCAGGAAAAAATAGACGTCTGGATCAAAGTCATATCTTTAACGGAGGAAAAGGGATTGCAAATAAAAAGCGGATGGGGAACGTTAAGAAATGAATCGAGGACGTTTTCAGTGAGTATAGTCGGCTTGATGAAGCAAGTACACCTTTTGGGGACCTGGCGCGCAAGAGACTAGGGAGACAAATTGGCTTCGATCTAATAGCCTTAATGGCAAATTCCTATGAAAGTTGTGACTATCTGTC